CCCATCTGCAAGATAGAAGAACATCCAAAGCCCGGGCAGCTTCTTGGTCAGTGCCCACAAGGATGAGACCAAGGATCACAGCGTCCTCAACCTGCAGGAGCCCCCATTACACTAACTGAACTGGTGGCAAAGCTGCACATGGACCCAGGAATTGCAGAGAAAGGGTAAATGGCAACTTGGTGCCACCAAGCACCAGCGGGCTGGCTCTTCTGCTTTACTTCTCCATTTACAGGGCTGGAACGCACACACCATTTCCTGCTTGCAGGGAAGCCAACCTCGGGAGAAAGGATGCTTTCCAAGAGCTAAACCATACCGGGGCAGGGTACACCATCAAGCTTGCCCATGCCTGGCCACCTTTGGGACCTTCTCTCTATCTATGAGCCTGATCTTGCCCACGCACCCAGAAGCACATTTCCCCCTCCAGCACGGATGGACCAATGCCCCACGCAAGCGTGGATTCAGCACGATTTTATGTGTTTTACTGACAACTGCCACTCTCGATTTTGTGGCCAAGGAAGAGGATGATGGAGGGAGAAGAGACATGAAATCAGTGCAAGAGACCAACCATTATATTCAAATCTAAGCACAAAATATGCTGGGTCTGCAGAACGCAGGCAGGCAGAGTGCTTCGTCTTTAATTTACTTCTCTGCCCCTTTGCCTTCGATGGCTCCAAGAAAACTAGCAAGGAAGATTTAAGGTGGGGGGAGTGAAAAGGGGAGAAGTGATGTACATTTTTTTAATATACCTACAAGGAACGAGTGACTAAAGAGTCACAGTTATCCCATGGTGAAGTGATCCAGCAGGAGCTGGTCTTCAATGGTTAATGGAGGAGAAAGGCAGGGGAGAGGAAGAGCAGTAGCCACAAACACCTCCCTTAAACACATCCAATTTCCCTGATGTGAAAATCTCCACATGAAGGAGCGGGCAGGAAAAAAAAAAAAAAGAGCTTAAGTGGGAACAGGGTGCCGAATGCCAAGTGCTACACTGAATAATTCAGAGCCCGGCATGACTATTGGCCGGATAGAGGAGAAGAAAAAAAAAAAAAAAAAAGTCACATCCCCATGCGAGCTTCAAAACCCCACGGCCACCAGGGATGAAAGGCAGAGGTAGCACCTCTTTAGAGCAGAGATGAGGCTCTGCTGTTCCCATTTCCCCATTTCCCTTCCCAATTCCCAACTTCCTGGCACTCTTTGCGTACCCACAGCCCAGGATGCAGTGGCAGCTCCTGGAAATCTCAGGGCCAAGCCTGGAGCTCATAGAGACCCATCTCCTCCTGCACATCCTTCGGACGCGCCGTGAGCGCCAACATCCTCGGCCAGGATGTTGCACAAGTTCTCAGCCACTGCTGGGAGACTCAGCTTGAGGTGACCATCCCAGCAGGTGCGTTTGGTAGGAAAGGTTTGGGGTTTTACCAAGCTGGGATGAAACCTCAGCCAACACCAAACCCGGTAAAGCTCCCTGCAGTCCAGTGCCGTTAGCACCCAAAAATGGTCCTCAGCTGAGGCCCTGGAATGCAACAGCCAAAACACCCTCACTACACTACTCAAAAGCACTTTTTGTTTATAATTACTACTTTTAAAGACATCTGACTTTCTAAGAACGTGCATCGCAGGGGAACAGCACAGGAACGTGCCCTGATTGTGTCCTTCCCAGAGCCTCCTCTTGCTCCCACCTCCTCCCCTCGGGCAGCCAAGGGAGATCCTTTCCCACCCGTCCCACGGAGGGCCCAGCCGCAGAGCCCGGCACGCTGCAAACCGCAGCGGCCGAATTCTTGGGCTGGCTCTAGCGCTAATCCCATTAACAACGCTCCAGAAGCTGCTGCTCCCGGAGCCCCGCGCATCCCGAGAGACGTAAAACCGCCCACCCGGACCGGCGAGACCAGGGGAGCCCCCAACGCGGGGGGTTGTGGGAGGGAAAGAACAAAATAAACAGAAAAAAAGGAAAGAAAGAAAGAAACGTGAGGAGAAATTTCCCTTCTCCTCCACTATCTACTCCATGGCAGCAGGGCAGACTTACAACTGTTGCATCACACAGAGCACAAAAATACCCAACGAGCCCATTTTAGCTGATGGGGACCATAGTGGACTTGGTGACAGCTCCAACGTGGGATGTAGGAGACCTCCACCCTAACTGGCCATTTCTTACCATCTTGTCAACCAAGCAGACTAAAAAACAATAATAAAAGTGTTATAGCTTGGATAGGTTGCTTAAAGACACGAGAAACAACATAAATCTCAGGGCATTAATGCTTCAGCCAACCAGCCAGGCTCACGGGGGACCTTATGTGGTCCAGGGGGTTTGAGCCCTGCCCAGCAAACAAGAAGAGCCAGGAAAGGCAGCGCAGGGGGTGCTCGGACGTGGCAGGGGGCTCCGGCAATGCGCAGCGCCGGATCCGCCAAGGCGCTTCGGCGTGAGGCCGCTAAAAATAATCTGCTGCCTACCTGTCTCCTTAACGTAGCACTTGCCTCTCCACAGAGCTGTGACAATGTGTGTGTCGGTGGCACAATTATCTGGATTTGATGACAGATTAAAAAAAAAATACATATATATCTCTCTCTTGGACACCTGTTCAAGAGTTTGGGTGTTTTTAAAGGCCATTGCCATTAACCTTGGGCCGTGCACTTCATTGTGTTTAATTAGCAAGCTAATGAAGCTGGTTTTATTCCCTTTCTCAGGCACAAGAGGATAAACACAAGACAGTGAAAGAGGAGCCCCGATGCATTTGCAGCACAGTTCAGTGCTGCATGGCGTTACTTAAACTTGCACCAAAATAAAAGTAATGCAATAGCCCCGGGAAACGGGTTAGTAACACATCTCGCAAGACAAATCCTTTTACACCTTCTGTACTTTCCCTAAAAGAAAAAAAAAAAATAGACGATTCAAGCACGGTTTCTGAACATTTGGGCTTGCAGAAAAATTTGCAAACAAAGGGCTAAAAATGAACATAATGTTTTCCTCAATGAATCCTCTGTATTCCAAAAAAAAAAAAAAAGAAGAAAATAAGCATAACGGATTTTAAAAGGAAAAAAATAACAGGATAACAACTGCAGCCTGGGCTTGCTTTGTTCCAGGCAGCCAAGGTAGCGCCGGGAACTGCCAGCAATGGAGGTCAAGCTATTTTCGAAAAGCCCCCCGCTCCCCTCCAGCCCCAACGCGCCCGGCGCACAGCCGCACGCACAGCCACCCGCACAGGCACACACAAAAGAACCGGAGCTCCCGGCGGAGCCCCAGAGACCCCCAACAACCGGAGGGCTCCCGCCTTGGGCAGCTCTGGGGGGAAAACCCGGACAAAGAGGCTCCCGCGGACAAATGCAAACAGCGCCGGACACGCACACGAGGATTCAAGGCGAGGGGGAGAGCGGCCGGAGCCCTAATGCACCCGTGTAATGATCTGCGAGGACCCTTCCAAATAAAAACAGGAATTCATTCATTTTCTGGGGTCCTTTATGAGGGTTTTGGGGGCGGGGGGAAGAAGCCAGCGTAGGTATGTCCTATGAGATTATCCTTTTCATAACATGATACATTTAAGGAGCTTTCAGGGTTATTTTTTTTTTCTTAAAGCAACTGCTTTTTCCTCCAACTGGCTTTTCTGCCACTCTACGCACAAGCATAGGATCGGGTTATAAATAAATTAAAACATACACACACCGCCAAAACCCAAAACAAAAACAAAAACCCGGAAGCCATCTCTTTTCTTTTTTTCCTCCTTATTCTTATTATTGAATCACCCGAGATAAAAGGATTCCAAGATATACAGAAAGAAAAAATACACCAGCCATAAATCTCCTTTATGCCCCTAATAGAATTTTCCAGCCAAGAGAGCGGCTGTGATTACAGCCGCCCCGACCAACACCGGCGCACACCCCGCACCACAACACCCAACAGCCCCCTGCTCCTTCCCAAAGGGCAGCGCAGGGAGCAGGGATGGGATCCCCATCCCTCCCAAGACCTTCACGCGGACGGCAACAAAAGCGGCGCGCACAAGTGTCCCATTAAATTATTAAATATATCAAGCCCGAGCCGCCTTTGCCCATCAATTTTGTTTTTGACTGCCCAGAAGCCCACGGATTCGAGCGTGGCTTTAAATAATAATAATAATAACAGTAATAGGGGGGATGCCGCGCGCCGGGAGCAGCCCCCGGCCGCGCATATTTAATGGGCGCTCGGAACAAAGGAAGCGGCGGCCCCCGCCTGCCCGCGCCGCGAAAACATCGGTGGGGATAAAATTAAAGCGGGGGGGATAAATACGTATAGCGTATAGACAACACGGCTGGGGCAACGGGTCCCCCCCCGCCGGCACCCACTCCCCCCCGGAAACGG